AACAAAAATAAGACTCTTCACATAATTCTTCACTTGCCAAGCCTTACCATACAAGTATTGCAACCCTTACTTGCGATTCATCTCTTCCATTATTTCCTTAGGTCTTAACTGTGTTATATTATTTCCTTGCAGTTTGAGGGACATAAGCTCACTGATTAACCTCATGCTCACTATTTGGTACCCACCTTGCAAACTATCAACAGTACACATGTGTAGCTTGTGGAATGTGCGAACTTGCCAATAATCATGTACTTTGTGGAATGTGCGAACTTGCCAATAATCTTCCTTAGGCATTTGTGTTGCATGCATAACAAACCTGTATGCATTATCTTCACAAGCAACCTCAAAACGAGTGTGACATGACTTTTTAACTTTAATATCAAAATGCTCTTTTATTGCAAACATGCTTAAAGCTCATTTTAATTCGGCCTTGGGTGGAAACACTTTTTCACGATATAAGTGGTCATCGCTTGATCTAGACTCCTTGATGTCAATTGTTTGGAAGGATATCATATCTACTTTCGAAATAATCCATTGACAAGATACCCCTGCATTTACCTTTCTTGATCATTGTCTTCAGATGAACAAATCATATTGTCACTAGTGATGGGGTTGTCATGAATAGGGTCATCACACTAAACATCTTGTAAAACAATAGTTGTGGCATGTTCTGTATTGCCATCTGTATGATTGCAATCCAAAATGTCATTATCGTCACCCTTGTCCTCCTTTAAACAATCATCATGCCTACCAATGTAATCGTTTTCACAATCATCGTCCATCTTATCATTCCAATCAGTAGTATCATCCTATTCACAGTCATCGTTCATTGGATCAGAGGCATCGTCATCACTCATGACTATCACAATGTCATTCTGAAGAGCAATAGACCCATTACATTCTCAAGCAATGGTTGCATTTGTTAGCAAGAATGAAGTATTTGGTTCGATGCACATTCTGATTAGAATTGTGCAGACAGTATTTGCAAACACCTCATGTGTGTGCCCAACTGCTCAAACTCATGTGTTTATGTCAATGGTGATTGCCATTGTTTAGGGATTGCATGGTGTGCTATGTCTAAAGCAATATAATTTTGATTTATGTGATTACTATGTTGGACACCTTGTTCATATGGCATAACATTTGCATTTTTTCCTTAATTGTCACAAACACTACAATCGCCCTTTCATCTCGCAGACTACTTGCTAAATCTTCATAGTCCTAATAACTAGGCGTGAAACCCCTGCGGCATGACTGAGCAATGCATGTAGCTTGATTTTGTGATTCTATGAGTTTACCTTAACAACATCTTCAATCAGCTTCATTAGGCCTAAAACCGACAAATCATTCCTAACCCTTTCACTTATGCCTCACCACCTTTATAAGTGTCATTGACCCAATGACCACTGTACATAATCATAAGCTTTAAATTTGTCATGTTGCTGAAATTTAACAGAAAATAAATGTCACAATCAATCAATTTATCAAAGAAAAAAAACATGTGTAATCATACAATCAATTTGTAATGCAATGCTTAATAAACCAAGCAGGCAATGCCTAACAAACTAGTCATGCAATACTTAAAAATTAGGCTCGCAATCCTTACAACCCAATCATGCAATGCTTAAAAATCAATCCCGCAATGCCTACATCCTAGACACATAACGCTTAAAAATTAATCTCACAATCCCAACAATCTAGTCACATAATGCCAACAACCCAATCACGCTATTCCTACAACTCAGTCACACAATGTCTAAAAGCCAATCTCACAATGCCTAAGTCATGCAATACCTAAATACCAGTCTCACAACGTTTAAAAACCTTTATTTGTCTTATACCTAGAAACCAGTGACTTAATGCTTAAAAACTAGTAATGCAATGCTTAATAACTAATTGATTGCCTACTCGCAACAGTCAAGTTTAAGTTGTTGAGATCATATAGATCTCTAATTTACAGACATGTTTAATCAATTTCAACCCTTCGACTTTAAAATTTTATTCTATACATATAAATCAATAAACCTAACAACCCAAAACACATACTTTGATATCATTTTACTTTTTGAGAGGGCAATCTAAGAGCTAGACGGCGAGATAAAAAGTATTTGGCAAACAAAAATGGTGATGGTGAGAGAAAGTTGGACGGCCGGATATACAATAATTTTAGAATTCTTTTCTAGATAACGGGATAGAGAAAACTAAGACCATTTACTTTGTCTAAAATTGCTTAAAAAGCATTGTTGTCAAATTATGTCAAAAATTAAGTAAAAACGATTAAAATTAATATAAAAATTATTTTTAAATTGAGCTTATGAGAAAGGTTATTTTTCACAATTTCCTCTTTAAAAAACTCTTATCTAAAGTGGGGTTTGAATTATAACTTGAATAAAGGTTCATTGAAGGTAGACAGCTAGGTGTGCTGGAGTTTGAAAAGGACTCTAAAACTGTAACTACACATAATGTCCACGAAATCATGTAGTAATGGTGACTGTTTTTCGAACATAATATTTTGATTGAAGACAGCAGGATAAATGGGCAAGTAAATACGTAGAGTGGGGGAATTAAATGCACGAATGCAAAGGAATCATTGCACCCAAATTTTGCAGCTACTTTGACTTAAGATAGGTGCATTTTAGATAAGATATGCTTGGGTTCGAACAGAATTGCGTGATGCATTTATGGATAGTCTGATGTATCTAGATATTCCCAAATCTAGGTATTTAGATAATGTGGGGTTTTAGTTATTTCATATTTATTTTATATTTATTGTAACCAATAAGTTCATAAGTGATTTTTGGCTTTTCATTCTTGGCAATAAAAAGCTTAATTTTTTTTTAAAAAGAAGTATAACCTGATTATAACTTAACTTAAATAAACAATACGTATCGTAAAATTGAAATTAACTTTTTTAAAATCTTAACATATATGTTTCAGAATAAAGATAAATAGTTATCACAATACTATTGTAAAATATAAAAATATAACATTTATTTTTTATAAAAAAATTAAATTAATTTGTATCCCTAGTTACAAAGAACTCTTACACACAAAAAAAAATAATTTTACACAATTAAATAAAATATAAATGTTTAAAAATAATATTTTTAAAAATATTACCGTAAACATTTGAAAACAAGGATAAAAATTCATAATTTCTAAGGTATAATGGTAAAAAAAATCATAATTAACTTAAAATAATTTAAAATGATTATAAACATTAAAAACTAATATTGTTAAAGATGTTAGTGAAACGAGTGAGAATAAGGATAAAAATATGTTATATCTAATACAAAAAGAATAAGAAATGTCGTAATCAATTTAAGATAATTTATGATAATTATAAACATTTAAAATTAATATTTTTAAAAATATTGATGTAAACCTATGAAAATAAATATAAAAACACATATAATCTAATTACACAAAATGAGCACAAATTAGCATCATCAACTTAAGATAAATTATAAGCATTAAAAATAACCTTCTTGTTCTAAAAAAAATAACCCTTTTGAATAAAAATAAAGAATCTAACATTGATAAATTGTTTATTATAAACTCTACAGTTCTTGTAAATGAATAAAACTGAATCTAAGCCAAGCGAAATGCAAAGAGGAAGACAATGGAAGCAGTAATGGAAATCAAACATACAAAATATAAGAATCAAAACAAAAGAACAAACCAAACCAAATATGGAACACCAACGAAACAATCAAGCCAAAAAATAATAAATCAAACCAAATCGCACAAAAAAAGAAAAAAAATTATAAATGAAAACAAAAGAGTAAAAAAAATTAAGAAGAACACCAGCTCAGCGAATCAAATAACAAAGAAAATTGTTACTAAAAAGAAACATTTAATTTATTTTTTAAAACTTTTAAATATGATATATTTACATGTGATAGGTAATTTTTACTAAAAAGAAAATTGAAACTACCACTATTTATCTAATTTTGTTAAAATATTTATTAATTGCATTCACTTCTATGGTTTTTTATTATGTTTGTTGAATTAAATTATTATTGTTTAAAATATTTTGTCATACAAAGTGTGATAATTAATGATATTCTTAATTACTATGATTATTGTAGTATAATTTGATATGTAAACAAAGAAATACTACATAAAATAACAAAATATATTTGTTATAAATCAATTAAGATGTGACTTAATTATACTAAAAATTGATTTATTTCAAAAATCAGTAAAATCAAGCATAAAATAATTAAGATAGAGAATTTATCTTATTTGCTAAATAAACGAAACAAATAAAAATATATTTACTTTATTTTTCAGTTTAACTTTTAGCCTGTTTTACCATTTTCTTTGTTTTTTTTTAATTTATTCTTTTTCTATTTCTCATAAGATATTTTATGACTTTATTTTAAGGTCAATATTTTTGTAATCTTACTTTAAATAAACCCATTTGCTTCCACTAAGTGCATGTTTGGTCATTCCCTCCTCTTCTAATCTCTTTTTAAGTATTTTTTATTTTATTTATTTTCATTACATGAATCAAATTACTTAATAAATATTTTTATTTTATTCTATTTTCAAAAAATAATTATTCAAGTTTCTCTCTATTTCATTCCGAGAACCAAACATACATAAGAATTTAAAATTAAATCCTGAATCTATCCCTGGCATTGGAAATTTTGAATGGAGAGGACTAGGAATAAGGAACGAGGAAAGGCCCAAATTCATTCCAAATTCATTCTGAAATTTGTGAAATTGTTCTCCCAAGCTTTTCCCAACGTGAACGTAAAGAATTAAAATTTTCAGGTGTGAAATATGTCTATATATATGTATATATATATTAATAAAGATAAAGATTGAAGCATATGTCAAATATTAGTCATTCTGTCTTCAGCAAGATTGAAGCATTGAAGCAATCTTCCGATGCGTGGAAGGCAACTAATAAGACAGAAAGGTTGCTTGAACTATTTTCCAAGCCAACTATGAAATTACAGTTACTATAAATCCCAAGCTCAAGGGTAAAAAGAACAAATTCCTGTGAAACAACCGGCAAACCAGTTCTTTACAAATCACAGAATCCCAGCATTAATGGACAAGGGTAAGAAGAGATTGGCTGTTCTGGTTGGGTGCAACTACCCCAACACCCAGCACGAGTTGCATGGTTGCATAAATGATGTGGTAGCAATGAGAGGGGTGCTCGTTGGAAGATTTGGGTTCGATCCTAGCCAGATTGAGCTCCTGACTGATGCACCAGGGTCCTTGGTTCTGCCTACAGGTGCAAACATTAAGGCTGCACTTAATGAGATGGTGAACCAGGCTGAGGCAGGGGATGTCCTGTTTTTCCACTATAGTGGACATGGAACGAGAATTCCATCCTTGAAACCTGGCCATCATTTCAGGCAGGATGAAGCAATCGTGCCTTCTGATTTCAATCTCATTACTGGTAATCAAACCTTTTCCCTTGTGTTTGCTATTTATGTAGAGAAGAAATCAATTTATCATCTATTTATAGAACTTAAGAACTATAACACTGATATAACTTGATAAACACCGTCCTGCAGATGTGGACTTCAGGCAATTAGTTAACAGACTACCAAAAGGAGCAACCTTCACTATCCTTTCAGATTCCTGCCACAGCGGTGGTCTCATTGACAAAGAGAAAGAACAAATTGGACCCTCTATTATAAAGAACACAACATCAGTTTCCTACAGGGTTAAAACAATTCCTTTCCAATCCGTACTTCAGCACCTGTCATCACTAACAAGCATCAACACATCAGATATCGGCACTCATTTGTTAGAATTCTTTGGGGCTGACGCCAGTCTCAAGTTTCGTTTACCCCAGCTTGAATCAGATTTGTTGGAGTTATCGAAGACGGACGAGGGGATTCTGCTGAGTGGGTGCCAAGCAGATGAAACATCAGCTGACATGAACGCAATTGAGGGTGGAGGGAAGGCGTATGGGGCGTTTAGCAATGCAGTGCATATGGTACTGAATGAGAACTCGGGTGCATTAAGCAATAAGAAAGTTGTGGTGATGGCCAGGAAGGTTTTAGAGGCACAGGGATTTGAGCAGCACCCTTGCCTTTATTGCAGTGATGGGAATGCTGATGCTACTTTCTTGTTGCAGCCCGAGGCTAAATGAGCCAGCCCAATTGATATTGTTATATTCTGTTTGCTGTGTGATTCACTTTGGCGTAATATGCAAAAATAAAATGTTCTGTCAATCTGTCAGATTCAGAAACTCACCAACCTTTCCCCTGTAACAGGAATTCTCAATCAATCCTATGTGAATTTGTGAAACATTTCTTCTTTAAGTATTGTGAAGATTAATCAATTTTATCTATAATTAATGATGGCATTGGAATATTTGATTAAATTTTCAGTATATATATTCAACCATTATACTATTAAAAATGGTCAAAGTATCCAAATAATTCCTATACTTAGGCATTTTCTTCAATTTAGTTTCTTTACTCAAAATAGTAACAATTTAGTCCTTTGATTTTGAAAATTGCTTCAATTTAACCCCTCCAACATTTTCGTTTCAAATTTACCCTTTATGATGTTGACATCAACACTAACATTTCTTCAATTTAATCCCTCTACTCAAAATCATAACAATTTAATCTATTGATTTCGAAAATTGTTTCAACTTAGTTCCTCCAACATTTTCTTTTCAAATTTACCGTTTATGATGTTGAAGTAGCATGTGAGGAGGTATCAAGTTGCTACCACGTTTCTCTCTTCTTCTCTTTAAAAGAATTTTAAATTTTTTTTGCACACTTGCTAAAGTTTGAACTAAGAACCTTTAACAAACACACGAAAGTCCTTACCACCCCACCTAAACAATTGCTTTTGATTATTTGTTGCGTCTGTTTCTTTTTTATTTTTCTTTCTTATTTTTTCCCTCTCTCTCTTTCCTTCCACCTTCTCCCTTAAATACCAATGATTGTCACCCACCGAAAGTTGATCGTCTGTTGTCAATCGAAGGTAGCCAACAATCAATTGTCATTCATCAGTCATCGTTTGTCAATTGTCGGTCATTGATTGTCGACTGTTGATATTGGTGACAGGCAATTGATCTTTAAGGGAAAAAGTGGGAAAAGAGAGAGAAAACTAAAAACAAGAAAGAAAAAGAGCAAAAGAAAAAAGGAAAAAGAAACAAAAGTAAGAAATAATTAGAAGTCAGGGTTTAGGCTAGAAAAAAGTGACATGGTAACCTTCCTAACATGTCACGTGGTATCAATGCCACGTCAGCATGTCCATCACTCTTCCTTACCACGTCATCTATGTTTTCCATATTAGTGCTAACGTGGCACTACCACGTCAACAACCGAATCCTACCTTACATGCCATGTCAGCATCTGGTGCCACATCAAAACATGTCAAGGATGACATCAACACCATAAACGGTAAATTTGGAAAAAAAAATGTTAGAAAGATTAAATTGAAACAATTTTCAAAGTTAAAGAATTAAATTGGTTGCAATTTTGAGTGGAGTGACTAAATTGAAGAAAACACCTAAGTACATGGACTATTTGAATACTTTGACGATTAAAAACAATAGCTGTAATAATTCCTTTGATGGAATTTCTTTATCCTTCCTTTATATATGATGACATGGACCAAACAAACCATTTTGCATCATACAAAAAAGTGTGAAACCCATAATATACACACAAAAAATAACTTAAACATTGCTACAACAAAAATCAAAATAACAACAGCACAAGATAATATCAAAACAACAACACTGAAGAATCATACAAAGATAACATAGAACAACCGAGAAGACAATCTTCTAAAAAATAAATGCAAACCAACTTATCACAAACCAAGAAAGCATTGAAAACATAGACAATAAAATTTTAGCAGCAAAAATCTAAACAATCACTAGACCAAAGAGAAGACAGAAGCAATTTAGCAATCAAGAGAAGATGGAGGTTCCACAGTAAGATATAAGAAACCAGAAATCATCACTTAGCTAAAAGTTTAAAGAATATCAATTGAATGTGGTCTACTCCCTCATAGGCTAAATAATAAGCAAGCTGATTTTGTGATCTTGGAAAGTGCACAACAAACCATTTTAGAATTTTATGTTTCTAGCTATTGATGAAGTTTAATGTACTTTTCATCCTCCATGTAACAAAGGAGAAGTCATTACACCATTTCACTACATTAGAAGAATCTAATTCCACAATAAGCTCATGTGAATGTGCCCAAGGACAAGTAGTAAAAAAAATAAAAGCTTCTATGACAGTTGTGATCACTACTAAGTTCGAATCAGCAACTCCCAATGGTTTAGAAAATAGAATTATGACATAGCCATTGTTGTCTCACAAAGCCCTTCCAATCTTGGCTAACCCTAGGCATCCTGTAGCCACTCTATCCACATTAAACTTAATGAATATGATGTTTGGTTTTTCTAAAAGTGTGGGCATGGGGAATGCTAATTTTGCTGAGCTTATTACCATTAAAAAAGCTTTATTGATCTTTTTTGCCTCTAATTGGGTTTCGTTTCATGAACTTATCATCAAAAGTAACTTAGCTACTGCCATTAAATGGGTAGAGAATCCTAAGCTTGCTTATTAAAGATTGTAATGGCATGTACTGTACATTATCTTTCTTATAAAAAACTCAAAAAATGGCATATTCAACATACTCTTAGATTAGCTAATAGTCTGGCAAATTCTTTAGCCAAGGCAGGGATTGAAAGAGAATTTGATTTCTTGATGTTTCATAATGTGGAATAGTGTTCGGTTTTCAATCACTGATTGGTTTTGTTCTTGTTCTTCTTATGTTGATGTTGTCTTTTCTTTTTTGGTTCCACTGTCATGATTGTTGATCTCTAAGATGGGCTTTTTAGTTTCCTTGGGTTATGGGTTTTGTTTTTTGATGGTTTGTAGAGTCTTGTTGTTTTACTGTGGTTGTTTTGGTTGGTTGTGCTTTTGATCTGCGGTGATGAATTGGTCTATTGGTCTTCATGCTGTGGGTTATTGTGGTTTTCAGGCATTGATTTTGTCATTGTTTCTAGAATGGATGGATTTTGTTTGGGTTAATCCTGATGATTGCTCCGGTTTCAAAGAATTGCACAGGTGTTTTGGGTTTTTGTCTTTTTTGGGATGATTATCCTTTTTGATTTCACCGATTCTATTGTTTGTCGTGGTTGAAGTTGAGTTTGGTCTTCATTTTTATTGTTTTGATGCTCTTTTGTATTTTTCTCTAGTTGAACTTGAGCTTGAGTTGTTTTTTCTTATATTTTGTTCTACATATGAGTTGTTGCTTTTCTAAGAACTCCCACTATAGATTCTAGGTTGTACTTTATGGGAAATGTTTTTCTCCGCATTTGACTTCATTAATGAAGTTTTACCTTTCAAAAAATATATATGATGTTTGGTTTAACCCATTCCACTGTTGGCTCGTCTTTTTTCAAAGTCACTCTAACTTTTGCACAAGAGGCTTTCTCACCCCATCCAGAACGGATGGATTTTTAGAAGACCATTTGGCTTTTGCCCACCATCCAATTCTAAGTTTAAACACATCCTACATTTGTCGGATATCCCGAAACATCTCTTTGAAAACCAAGCCATTTCTATGGAGCTAGCTGTTCCATAGATTTGCAAAAAAAGGCCATGTGCCAAATTGGACTACTCCCACCACAAAAATCATTAACATTCCAAACAGTAAATAAAGCTTTTAAATTACCTGGCAGAACCTAATTATACCCTTAATTTTTAATCCAAAGGTTCCATACTTGCCAAGAATCATAACAGCCGAGGAAGAGATGATCCACCGTCTCTATCTCTTTATTACAAATAAGGCATAAAGCAACATTCTCATTAATAATGCCCCTTTTAAGCTCTCATTTAACTGCCATCTTCCCATGGAGGACTTGTCAGTAAAAGACTTTTACTTTTGAAGGAACAATATTGGATCAAACCACTTTCCATAGATTGTGATCTTCCAATGTATTACAAATCATATATTACAATATATTTAAACCCTCTAATCCATTAAGAGGTTTATCTAAAAGATTCGTGATATAATTAAAAAGACAAAGACGTTTCAAATACCATAAATGAGTTAAAGTCAGTGGACACTCTAGTTGTATGTATCCCATTTGATAATCTAACCTTATTTATAATCTAACTTGGATGATAAAAGAATTTGGCATGCACCTATGTCTAAAGCAACTTTTTTTCAGCTAGTTAATTGAAGTAAGGTACCATGATTTTGGTTTGAGTCAAACTCTTTTGTCAAAATTCATACTTTATCTCCAAAACAAGTTCATGGATCATATCAAAGTCAGCAAGCAATGACCATATTCTAATGACTAAGTATTTTGATAAGTAAATTCCATATTGAGCTTTCAACAAGAAAATATCATGGCAAGGCCAAGTTTACGGTTGTTAATAACATTTCATTAGTAAAGAAATATACAAGAGTTCCCTTTTGTTTTCTATATGCCATACCTCATACACACGAACAGACAAGTGTATGAACAAAGAAATGTAAAAGTAGTGGATAAAATAAAAGTAAATAATAATAATACTTTAAATTTCAATAATTTATTTATTAGACATGTATCATAATTGAACAAGAAATTAAATAAGCATGAAGTTTAAACTTTAAACACCTAACAACAAGCATGAAATCTTTGCTAGAGAACTAATTAAAACAAAATACCAACACAATAATTAAAGCTTAAGGGACAAATCAATCTCTGAAGCATTATTGTTATCACTTCCTGAAAGATTGCTTGGTAGAAGATAATCACTTCTAGTAGCCTTGTTTGTTGGAACGTTTACTTGAGAAATATCACTAAAGTTGAGAGGTGCACCAGTTTCCTGAAATCTTGAAGAACTTGAAGGCCCTGAAATGCCAAATCCACCATTGTTCATGCTTAACCTTTCATTAATAGTTGGTCGAGAAGGGGTCAGCATGGCTTGCCTAGGCCAACCGTGATTGAGATGATGAAATCCGTTGACCAATGTCGAAGGATATAAAGTCTTATTGATCATGGAGTCAAGTCTAACCCCAAGGGATGATCTATTCAAAGATCCATAAAAAGGGTGTGGAGAAATGGTTGCATAAGGATAATAGGGATAGGGTGGAAGGCCAAAACCATTCACATCCATCCCTTGACGCCTTTTGGCTAATGCACGTTCTTGTTTGTGAGCATTTTGGTGGCCCCCCAAGGCTTGAGAAGTAGAGAACTCTCTCTTGCAATAATTGCAAGAGAAAACCTTATTTGAATCATTAGATCGCTTCTCACGGGAGGTTTGGTGATCACCAGAGTCTTTTGAGTGAGATGAAGTAGGGCTTATAGGGTTGAAAAGATTGAGTTCTATCTTTGGTTTACATAGCGAATTATCA